TCTTAACTTATTCAAGCCTCCCTATCTGCCAAGAGGATATTCAACCCATTTTATAGATAAGGAAACTGAGGCTCAGAGATGAAAGGACTTGCCTTAATCACACACACCAAATCAAGGATGCGAACTCTTTGACACTTGTTCTTTTCACTACACTGTACTAAGTGTGCTCATCTTGCTTTTGATAGTTTAAGTTTTTAAAAGACAAGAAACATATTCTACTTTTCTTTGAGTCCCAGTATATAAAATACTTGGCACACAGTCCTTAATAATGTTCAAAGAATTAAATTTCTCTTAAATGTCATACAAAAGTCACATCTTTTATAAATTACAGGTGAGTGTTTAAAGCTTAAAAGTACACAAAGAGATTGTAATCACCCTGCACAGGACAGACACCCTGTGGGTTCCATGCCAGATATCTCAGCCAAACTCACATCACAGCTAAAGGACATCTGCTGATAAGCTTGTATCCTCTCATGGCTCTGAAACTGCCTAGTGCCTTCCACAATTATACATTTCTCATTAACTCAGTCCACTAAAGCTCACATTAGCCTCCCCTCTCCCCACCAGCCACCAGGAAGGTGTTACTCTGCCTACACACAGGCCAGCCCTGCAGATAAGGAAAAAACCAAAGCACTGACTGGATTCCACTCAATGACCAAGATTCAAGTCTACTGCAACCCAAACTGGAAAACCAGGCCATTCTCAAAGGAGCTAAATGGAGGGGCTGTGACAGAGATGCACCAGGTTCCTTGGGTAAGTCGGAGAAGAAAACATAATCAGCTGTGCTACAACACGGCCTTCTCTACTAGACACAGGCGGGCAGCCTTGGGTTCTTCCGAAACAGATGAACTATTTCTCTGAGGCCTCCCTCCATGCCCCCTTTCCCCACCTAAATCTAATAAAGTTTGTGACTGAAAGCCTTTCTGCACAAAGGTTTGGAATTGGACATTCCACTCATCTAGCAAAACATTTCTGATCCTTTGCATCCTCTCTATCCAAGTGTATAATTACACAAGAAATGACTTAATTGAGGTTAATTTGGCGTTGGCT